TTTACGGAAGCTCTAAATCCTAAACCATTCAGGAGCCTACATGTCAGGGCTGAGGGAGCAGTCTAAAGGGCCTTTGACCCCAAACCCTACTTGAACCGTAATGAAATCCGAATGAAACCCTAACTAAACTCGGATGGCCTTGAAACCCTCTGAAAATATTCCTGCATATGTCCGATTGAACCCGATAAGGGGCAATATAAAGTAGCCCACGGGCATACCTGGAAAATGAAACTTTAAGGAAACCCAATGAAACCTGAATTAAGAACCCTATGAAACCCACACGAACCCTAAACCCGAAACCCTAAACAAACCCGAGGCCTCAAACCCACAAAGCCCCTTTCAGTCGCAAAGCCTAACCTCTAAGCCCAACCTCAGCTACTCACCTAATCCCGCGGTTTGAAGCTTAGGGTGTCAGGTGGGGTTAAGGGTATAGGGTTGAAGGTCTAGTGTTTAGGGTGTAGGGTTTAGGGTTTAGGGTTTAGGGTTTAGGGTTTAGGGTCAACTAGCTACAACTGCCCGTGGTATGGACCTAGAAATTAATTTTCGAGCCCATGTACTTACTCCCAGACACTTTGGGATTTGAGAGTCCAAAGGATTTTGGAGACTTGTGGGTTTGGGGCCTTCAGGATTCGAGACGCCCTACACCCAAACCCTAAGCCCTAAACCCCGAAACCCGAAACCCTAAAGCCCTAAGCCTAAGCCCCGAAACCATGAACTTCTAAAGGCCGGAAACCCTGAACCCTAAGCTCTAAACCCCGAAACCCGAAGCCCCACAACGATAAACACACCCGACCGAGGCGCTGTAAAAGTGCTCCGCGCGCTGTCCCACTCGCAGCTGCTGCTCCCGCAGCGCCGCCACGTCCGCCTTGAGGGGAAGGTGGGTGGGGAGGGGGTGGGCGGGGGGGTGGCCTGGGCCTCACAGCTTCGCTCAGAGCTTCAACCCTAAACCCTGTATAACCCAATGATAGGTTTAGGGTTTAGGGTTTAGGGTTTAGGGTTTAGGGCTTAGGGCTTAGGGTTTAGGGTTTAGGGTTTAGGGTTTAGGGTTTAGGGTGTAGGGTTTAGGGTTTAGGGTTTAGGGTTTAGGGTTTAGGGTTTAGGGTCTAGGGTCTAGGGGGTTCTAGGGTCTAGGGTCTAGGGTTTAGGGCTTAGGGCTTAGGGCTTAGGGCTTCTTAGGTTTAGGCTTAGGGTTTAGGGTTTAGGGTTCGGGTTTAGGGTTTAGGGCTTTTAGGGCTTAGGGCTTAGGGCTTAGGGTTTAGGTTTAGGGGGTTTAGGGTTTAGGGGTTTAGGGTTAGGGTTAGGGTTTAGGGTTTAGGTTTAGGGTTTAGGGTTTAGGTTTTAGGGTTTAGGGTTTAGGGTTTAGGGTTTAGGGTTTAGGTTTAGGGTTTAGGGTTTAGGGTTTAGGGTTTAGGGTTTAGGGTTTAGGGTTTAGGGTTTAGGGTTTAGGGTTTAGGGTTTAGGGTTTAGGGTTTAGGGTTTAGGGTTTAGGGTTTAGGGTTAGGGTAGCCATATTCGGTTACTTAAGGGCCCTATAAACGGGCTGTAAGTACACTTCCAGTTGCCCGGAACCTCCAAGTGCGAACAGGATTACGTAGGGTTGAGGGTTTAGGGTCTAGGCTAAACCCTAAACCTTGAATCCTAGGGTTTAGGGCTTAGGGTCTATAGGGTTTATAGGCCTTGTTTTTGGAGGGGTTACATGCGTTGTTTGCCTTGAGGGCCTTTAGGGTTGAGAGATCCAAAAACCCTCAACTTAACCCGTAAACCTCCAAGAGCTAAGCCACAGCGGCTTTGGGGTTTGGGGTTTGGGGTTTGGGGTTTGGGGTTTGGGGTTTGGGGTCTGGGGGTCTGGGGGTCTGGGGGTTTGGGGGTTTGGGGTTTGGGGGTTTGGGGCTTGGGGTTTGAGGTTTGGGGTTTGGGGTTTGGGGTTATAACACAAAGTCAAGCAGCCCCAAAACTCACCCCGCGGATTATCTCTTGGGCTTCCGGCCACAGGAGGCCCGGAGCGAGAGCTGCGCGCCGCCGCAAGCCTCGCTCGCGTTCGGGGTGAGGGTTTTAGCTTTTAGGGGTTTAGGGTTTAGGATTTAGGGTTTAGGGTTAGGGCTTACGGCTTAGGGTTTAGGGTTTAGGGCATTTTTGGGTATAGGGTTTAGGGTTTAAGGTTAGGGTTTAGGGTTTAAACCCAAACCTTAAAAGCCCTAAAACCCCTAAGCCCTTGAAACTTCTCGGTTCCTAAAACCTCTAAACAAAGGTGGTCGGAATAATTGCTAGGAGCATTCCCTTATGGTCCCTATATAAGTATACTAGAGTAACCCCCCAAACCCTAGTCCAACTATTCAGGCACCCCCCATAGTCCGCTCCGGCAGTTGCTGGTGAGACTGACTCCCAGCAGGACACTTACGGTTTAGGGTTTAGGGTTTAGGGTTTAGGGTTTAGGGTTTAGGGTTTAGGTCTTAGGGTTTAGGGTTTAGGGTTTATTTAGGGTTCAGGGTTACCTCAACCTGGTATTCCTCGGCCAGCCCCCACTCGGCCGCCTGATCGCTTAGGCTCCATATTTTCGCGCAGGGCCGCGACTGCGGACTTCGCCTGCTCCTCCGCAGCTTCGCGCTTGATCACGCGGTCAAGCTGCGTGAGCCCGTGCTCTGCCAGTTCCAAAATCCGGCTCTGAGCCTTCTGGGCTTTCAGAAGCGCGTCCGACGCCGCGACGTACTCCTCCGCGAAGTGCACAACAGACAACTCTAAACCCTAAACCATGAACCCTAAACCCTAAACCCTAAAACCCTAAACCCTAAACCCAAAGCCTGAACCCTGAACCCTAAACCCTCAACTCTCCTGGCTCCAGGTTCTCCCGAAAGGCTGGCGATAGCGGGGTAAGCCCCAAAAACCCTAAACCCTAAACCTTCAACCCCACGTAGAAGCACCACAATAAACCCCAAGATAAACCCCAAAAAGGGTTCAGGGCTTAGGCGGCCTTGCGATCCTCACCCTAAGTAGCCACCCTTGAGGGTTGTGGTCTTTTTGGGGTTTAGGGTTTAGGGTTGAGGGTTTAGGGCTTGAGGGTTTGAGGCCCAGAACCTAAAGCCCATAGTACAAAGCCAAGACCCTGAACTGAATGCCATACCCTAGGCTCAAAACCCTCCTAAACCCTAAACCCTAAACCCTAAAGCCTAGACCCTAAACCCTAACCCTAAACTCTAAACCCTAAACCCTAAGCCCTAAACCCTAAACCCTAAACCCTAAACCCTAAACCCTAAACCCTAAACTCTAAACCCTAAACCCTAAACCCTAAACCCTAAACCCTAAACCCTAAACCCTAAACCCTAAACCCTAAACCATAGGCCGCCCGCGCCAGGCGGCGGCCCGTACAACTGAACGCTACCGCTTCGAGATCTGCTTGCTTTGCCAAGCAGATCGAGCTTGCCACACCTGATGCATCCCTGCTAGCCATAGGGCACAATGTAATAATGGATTAACCCTAAACCCCCGACGCGCGACCCCGGCGGGGGAGGTCGGGCCTAAGAAGCTGTTGCGCCCCCGCCAGGTTGCCCCCGCCAGGGTTGCCCCCGCCAGCCAGGGTTGCCCCCGCCAGGGTTGCCCCCACCAGGGTGGCCCCCGCCAGGGTTGCCCCCGCCAGGGTTGCCCTCACCAGGTTGCCCCCGCCAGGGTTGCCCCCGCCAGGGTTGCCCCCGCCAGGGTTGCCCCCGCCAGGGTTGCCCCCGCCAGGGTTGCCCCCGCCGGGGTTGGCTTGGCCAAGGGTTGCCCCCGCCAGGGTTGCCCCAGGTTGCCCCCGCCGGGGTTGCCCCCCACCAGGGTTGCCCCCGCCAGGGTTGTTCCGGCAGGGTGACAGGGTTGCCCGGTCGCCCCCAGTTGTATCGGGCCAATTCCCGCCAATTCAGGAATCGTGCACCTATATGCTTCGTCGTCCATTAGTGGCCCCCCCGCTCCTTTGAGACTCTAGACACACATATATATATATATATATATACATATATATATATACGTTTATACCTCACCTTGCCCCCGCCAGGGTTGCCCCCGCCAGGCTTGCCACCACCGGGGTTGTCTCTGAGGTTTGCCCCCACCAGGGTTGCCTCTGCCAGGCTCTCTGTTGATCCAGGAAAGTGCAGGCTCGAGCAACAGCAGCAGCCCTGTTTGCGGTTGCCCGACAGACAGGGTTGCCCCGCCAGAGTTGGCCCCTGGCAGGGTTGGTTGCCCCCGCAGGGTGGCCCCACCAGGGTTGCCCCCGCCCGGGTTGCCCAGCCAGGGTTGCCCCTGCCAGGGTTGCCCCGCCAGCGTTGCCGCTGCAGATTTGTCGCCGCCAAATTTGGCGGTGACAGGGTTGCCGCTGCCAGGGTTGTCCGCCAGGGCTACCCCCGCCAGGGTTGCCCCCGCCAGGGTTGCCCCGCCAGGCTTACCCTACCAAAAAAAACCCCTAAAAACTAAGTGGTTCTTGTCTCAACCACCGCCATGGTGACAGGGTTGCCCCTGCCAGGGTTGCCAGTGTTACAGTGACAGGGTTGCCCCCGCCAGCCCGCCAGGCTTGGTGGGTGACAAGGCAAACTACTCGGTTGGGGTTCCGCCAGGGTTGCCCCAGCCAGGGTTGCCTTTAGCAGGGTTGCCCCGCCAGGGTTGCCCCTGCCAGGGTTGCCCGGTTGCCCCACCAGCGTTGCCGACGCCAAATTTGCCGGGTGACAGGGTTGCCCCTGCCAGGGTTGCCCGCCAGGGTTACCCCCGCCAGGGTTGCACCCGCCAGGGTTGCCCTGCCAGGGTTACCCCACCAAGAAAAACCCTAAAAACTAAGTGGTTCTTAAGTCTCATGAACCTCAACCACCGCCGTGCTGACAGGGTTGCCCCTGCCAGGGTTGCCAGTGTTACAGCGACAGGGTTGCCCCCGCCAGGGTTGCCCCCACCAGATTTGCCCCCACCAGGGTTGCCCCCACCAAAGTTGTTTTCATCAAAATTGCCCCTGACCCAGAACCCCCCCCCAGGGTTGCCCCGCCACTTGAAGGTTCACGCTACTTACGAACCACTAGATAACTGTACTTTTAACCCTACTTAACATCTAAAGGGGCCTTTTGGGGGTTATTCCAATTATAAGTAAGGGTTATAAGCCCAGTTAAAAGTGGTTCTTAAGTCCATCAACCTCCAAGCAGGGTTGCCCCCGCCCGAGCTGCCCCCGCCAGAGTGCCCTGGCAGGGTTGCCCCCGCCAGGGTTGCCCCCGCCAGCGTTGCCCCCGCCAGGGTTGCCCCCGCCGGGTTGCCCCCGCCAGGGTTGCCCCCCGCCATGGCTTAGCTATGCGCTTGAGATTGTCTTAAACGGGTGAATTTTGATTGTCCCGATCCTGGAGAGTGTAGGCTCAAGCAACAGCAGCAGTCATACCTCCCATCCCGGCCATCGGGGAGAGTCGAGGTGAAAGCCCCCTTGGTAGGGGGACCGTGGGGGTTAGACCGCTCTAAACCCGAAAAAGGCGGTAGTTTGGGTGGTTGGGGTGGGATCCGCTGCACCGAGGCGGCCCGACCCGCCACCACTCCCTGGCGGGTCGGGACCGCGGCACTTCGGAACACCCTAAACCCAAAACCCAAAACCCAAAACCCAAAACCCAAAACCCAAAACCCAAAACCCAAAACCCAAAACCCAAAACCCAAAACCCAAAACCCAAAACCCAAAACCCAAAACCCAAAACCCAAAATGGCCAAGGGTTGCCCCCGCCAGGGTTGCCCCAGGTTGCCCCCGCCGGGGTTGCCCCCCACCAGGGTTGCCCCCGCCAGGGTTGTTCCGGCAGGGTGACAGGGTTGCCCGGTCGCCCCCAGTTGTATCGGGCCAATTCCCGCCAATTCAGGAATCGTGCACCTATATGCTTCGTCGTCCATTAGTGGCCCCCCGCTCCTTTGAGACTCTAGACACACATATATATATATATATATACATATATATATATATACGTTTATACCTCACCTTGCCCCCGCCAGGGTTGCCCCCGCCAGGCTTGCCACCACCAGGGTTGTCTCTGAGGTTTGCCCCCACCAGGGTTGCCTCTGCCAGGCTCTCTGTTGATCCAGGAAAGTGCAGGCTCGAGCAACAGCAGCAGCCCTGTTTGCGGTTGCCCGACAGACAGGGTTGCCCCGCCAGAGTTGGCCCCTGGCAGGGTTGGTTGCCCCCGCAGGGTGGCCCCACCAGGGTTGCCCCCGCCCGGGTTGCCCAGCCAGGGTTGCCCCTGCCAGGGTTGCCCCGCCAGCGTTGCCGCTGCAGATTTGTCGCCGCCAAATTTGGCGGTGACAGGGTTGCCGCTGCCAGGGTTGTCCGCCAGGGCTACCCCCGCCAGGGTTGCCCCCGCCAGGGTTGCCCCGCCAGGCTTACCCTACCAAAAAAAACCCCTAAAAACTAAGTGGTTCTTGTCTCAACCACCGCCATGGTGACAGGGTTGCCCCTGCCAGGGTTGCCAGTGTTACAGTGACAGGGTTGCCCCCGCCAGCCCGCCAGGCTTGGTGGGTGACAAGGCAAACTACTCGGTTGGGGTTCCGCCAGGGTTGCCCCAGCCAGGGTTGCCTTTAGCAGGGTTGCCCCGCCAGGGTTGCCCCTGCCAGGGTTGCCCGGTTGCCCCACCAGCGTTGCCGACGCCAAATTTGCCGGGTGACAGGGTTGCCCCTGCCAGGGTTGCCCGCCAGGGTTACCCCCGCCAGGGTTGCACCCGCCAGGGTTGCCCTGCCAGGGTTACCCCACCAAGAAAAACCCTAAAAACTAAGTGGTTCTTAAGTCTCATGAACCTCAACCACCGCCGTGCTGACAGGGTTGCCCCTGCCAGGGTTGCCAGTGTTACAGCGACAGGGTTGCCCCCGCCAGGGTTGCCCCCACCAGATTTGCCCCCACCAGGGTTGCCCCCACCAAAGTTGTTTTCATCAAAATTGCCCCTGACCCAGAACCCCCCCCCAGGGTTGCCCCGCCACTTGAAGGTTCACGCTACTTACGAACCACTAGATAACTGTACTTTTAACCCTACTTAACATCTAAAGGGGCCTTTTGGGGGTTATTCCAATTATAAGTAAGGGTTATAAGCCCAGTTAAAAGTGGTTCTTAAGTCCATCAACCTCCAAGCAGGGTTGCCCCCGCCCGAGCTGCCCCCGCCAGAGTGCCCTGGCAGGGTTGCCCCCGCCAGGGTTGCCCCCGCCAGCGTTGCCCCCGCCAGGGTTGCCCCCGCCGGGTTGCCCCCGCCAGGGTTGCCCCCCGCCATGGCTTAGCTATGCGCTTGAGATTGTCTTAAACGGGTGAATTTTGATTGTCCCGATCCTGGAAAGTGTAGGCTCAAGCAACAGCAGCAGTCATACCTCCCATCCCGGCCATCGGGGAGAGTCGAGGTGAAAGCCCCCTTGGTAGGGGGACCGTGGGGGTTAGACCGCTCTAAACCCGAAAAAGGCGGTAGTTTGGGTGGTTGGGGTGGGATCCGCTGCACCGAGGCGGCCCGACCCGCCACCACTCCCTGGCGGGTCGGGACCGCGGCACTTCGGAACACCCTAAACCCAAAACCCAAAACCCAAAACCCAAAACCCAAAACCCAAAACAGGCGGCGGCCGGTACAACTGAACGCTACCGCTTCGAGATCTGCTTGCTTTGCCAAGCAGATCGAGCTTGCCACACCTGATGCATCCCTGCTAGCCATAGGGCACAGTGTAATAATGGATTAACCCTAAACCCCCGACGCGCGACCCCGGCGGGGGAGGTCGGGCCTAAGAAGCCGTTGCGCCTTGCCCCCGCCAGGGTTGCCCCCACCAGGGTTGCCCCCACCAGCCCACCAGGGTTGCCCCCGCCAGGGTTGCCCCCGCCAGGGTTGCCCGGTTGCCCCCGCCAGGGTGACAGGGTTGCCCCCGCCAGCCTACTTGGGTTGGTCCCCGGAATTGGCCTCGCCTATTCAGGCTTCTCTATGAAGGGCCCTGCCAAAGTTCTCCATTAGTGGCCCCTGCCAGCTCCTTTGAGACTCCATGTATATATATCTACAAACACACACAGACGTTTATACCTCGCTTTGCCCCCGCCAGGGTTGCCCCCGCCAGGGTTGCCCCCGCCATGGGTTGCCCCCGCCAGGGTTGCCCCCGCCAGGGTTGCCCCCGCCAGGTTGCTTTTGCCAGGGTTGCCCCTGCCAGGGTTGCCCCCGCCAGGGTTGCCCCCGCCAGGGTTGCCAGGGTTGCCCCCGCCAGGGTTGCCCCTGCCAGGGTTGCCCCCGCCAGGGTTGCCCCCGCAGGGTTGCCCCCGCCGGGTTGAAAGGGCTGCCAAAGCCAGGGTTGCCTCGTCGGCGAAGGTTGCCCCCGCCAGGGTTGCCCCGCCAGGGTTGCCCCCGCCAGGGTTGCCCCTGTCAGGCTTGCCCCCACCAGGGCCAGGGTTGCCCCCGCCAGGCTTGCCCCCGCCAGGGTTGCCCCCGCCAGGGTTGCCCCCGCCAGGGTTGCCCCCGCCAGGGTTGCCCCCGCCAGGGTTGCCCCCGCCAGGATTCCCCCGCCAGACGTCCATCCCCACACCCCAAACCCTTTTGCTTGTCATTTTCGAGATCAGCAATTCTCATAATCAAAAAGAAGAAGAAGAAGACGGTTTGGGCTTTCTAGGAAACCCGGGCCAGGAGAATAGCTGAGTCAAACACTAAAACCCCACCAACTGGGGAGCAAACGAAACACAGCGAAACACTGCAAAACACAGCGAAACACAGCAAAACGCGGCCAAACACAGCGCAACACAGTGCAACACGGCGAAACACAGCGAAACATGGCAAAACACGGCGAAACGCACCGAAACAAGGCGGGGCACATGAAGAGGAGGGTTGCCCCCGCCAGGGTTGCCCCCGCCAGGGTTGCCCCCGCCAGGTTGCCCCCGCCAGGGTTGCCCCCGCCAAGGGTTGCCTTCGTGAGGGTTGCCCCCCGCCAGAGTTGCCCTACCAGGGTTGCCCCCACCAGGGTTGCCCCTGCCAGGGTTGCCCCCGCCAGGCTTGCCCCCACCAGGGTTGCCCCCGCCAGGGTTGCCCCGAGGTTTGCCCCCGCCATTTTTCATATTTTTAAGCTACATTTTCTATCTTCTAATATTCCTTGAGGAATCCCACTAATAAGAAAATAGCACTTTTCCTTTCATTATTAGTAAAGGTTTCTATGGAAAGATATTAATTCTCTATCTATATCTTCTTCAAATTCATTTCGGCTTCTCTTCTTTCTCACATCCAGATAATGCATTAGAAGCATGTGGATTACTTACTCCTTTACATATCGTACCTGAATGGTATGTCTTATGCCAATATGCTATGTTAAAAGCTGTACCAAATAAAAATGCAGGATTCATTCTCTTATTTACTTCTATCTTCATCCTATTTTACTTTATGAGAAGTCTTTCAATGTCATTCTATTTTCAAATTAAGACGTCCAGTAGATTTAATGGTTTCTATCGCAACCCCGCCGGGTTGCCCAGTTGTACCCCTGCCAGGGTTGCCCCCACCAGGGCTGGCCCCCACCAGCGTTGCCGCCGAGTTAGGGTTGCCCTTGGCAGGGTTCCGCCAGGGTTGACCCCGCCAGGGTGACATTGCCCTCGCCAGGTTGCCCTGTCAGGGTTCCACGCCTCCTCACGTCGCCTACTCAGGAATTGTGCACCTTCTCTGCGACGGCCTCGTCCTCCTCGCGTGCTGGCGAGGCTTCGTCGTCCTTCTCTATGAAGCGTTGTTTTGTTGCCGGGCAGGGCTTCTTGTGCCATATATGGGCCCCAGATGCGGGAAGGGCCCTTGCCCGTGCCGGGGTTGCCCCCACCAGCGGGGTTGCCCCCGCCAGGGCTGCCCTTGCGTTGCCCTTGCTATTGCCAGGGTTGCCCCCGCCACGCTCCGTTAGGGTCGCCGCCCGCCAGGGTTGCCCCCCGCCGGCCCTTGCGCGACCCCGGTCGGTGGGGAGGCCGGGCCCAAGACGCGCGACCCCAGCATAGGAGGTCCTGTCAACAAAGACCACCTTCCGCGCTTGGCCCTCGCCATTCTGCCATATGAATGAGCTTGGGTCCGGAATTGGGCTTGAGGGTGTCTTAAACACAGTATGGGTGAAACAGATTGTCCCGCTCCCTGTTGATCCAGGAAAGTGTATAGGCTCAAGCAACAGCAGCAGTCAACACGTCCCACCCCGGCCAGCGGGGAGACTCGAGGTGTAAGCCCCCTTGATAGGGGGGCTGTGGAGGGTAGACCGCTCTAAACCCGAAAAAGGCGGTAGTTTGGGTGGCTGGGGTGGGATCCGCTGCACCGAGGTGGCCCGACCCGCCCCTGGCGCGGGTCGGGACCGCGGCACTTTGGAACACCCTAAACCCTAAACCCTAAACCCTACACCCTAAACCCTTAGTAAACCCAACAAAGTGCCGCGGTCCCGACCCGCGCCAGGGAGTTGTGGCGGGTCGGGCCGCCTCGGTGCAGCGGATCCCACCCCAACCACCCAAACTACCGCCTTTTTCGGGTTTAGAGCGGTCTACCCCCCACCCCCCTATCAAGGGGGCTTTCACCTCCACTCTCCCCGATGGCCGGGATGGGACGTACTGCTGCTGTTGCTTGAGCCTACACTGTCCTGGATCCAAACTACTGTGTTTAAGACACCCTCATGGCCATAGCTAAGCCCCGTGTCGGTTTTTCCAACCCGAGCCATGTTGGTCGCAGGACTCCGGAATAACCCGGATGAGATGGAGGGAATGCGGCGGGGGCAGCCCTGGCAGGCGCAACCCTGGCGTGCAACCCCGGCGAGGGCAACATTGCCGGCACCCTGGCAGAATAATAGAGTACTTTGGCAGGGAGCTTGTGGTTCCTTGAGAAGGACGACGAAGCCTTGCAAGCGCGCAAGGAGGACCAGGTTGTCTGGGAGGGGCGTCAATGAGAAGGTGCACAAGCAGGCGACATGGTGCCGGGGTTGGTGGCGGGGGCAACCCTCAAAAGAGAGGGGGCGGGGGCTCCTCTAGGTGTGCATTGAGAGTGGCGACCCTGGTGGGCAACCCTGGCGGGGCAACTTTGGTGGGGGCAACTCGAAGGAGCAACCCTGGCAGGCAACCATGGCGGGGGCCTAGCGGGGGGCAACCCTGGCTTGCGGGGGCAAACCTGGCGGGGGCACTGGCACAACCCTGACGGGCCCTGCGAATGGCACGGCCAATCGGGGCAAGCCCTTGCTGGAGTCTTCGTGGATAGCAGCTTGGATCCAGGCCAGGCGGGCCTCGCGCACCATCTCAGTAATGTGCTTGGAGACGCGCTCAGCGTTGGCTTGCAGGACGTCATCTTCCGCCGTGGATCGCAAGCCAGCACGTTCGAGAACCAGGGTACCTCGACAGGCAAACACTTGAGCAGCCCGATTTTGTCTTTGACAGCCAACTCAGCACTAGCGGCTGCCGTGGCCAGCTCTTGAGCTTTGGTTTCAAAGGCTTGAATCTCTGCCAGCGGCCAAATTTCCCGAAAGGGCGGCAGCACAGCGACTGCAGCAGGGACGGCTTCCGCCGATGTGCTGTCACTGCCACGCTCGACCTTCCGCTGCTTCTGGCGAACGCTGCGACTTGGCGAGTCGCTGGAAGAGGAGGTCTTCTTTGTATGGCGGCGGGCCCGTTTTGCCTTGGGGTCCGAAGCATCGCGTCCCTTTGCCTTCTTCTCCGTCTTGCGATGCTTCTTGTGCTTGGCCTCGTTGCTTTTCTTGTGCGCCCGGGCGTTCTTCTTCTTCTTCTTCTTGCCACTGAGCGCCGAGCTCGAGTCCGTGGAAATGGAGTCAGAGTCATTGACAGAAAGTGGTGTCGAGGAGGAACTCCCTGCAGCTTCGGCGTCCAACTGGCCGAAAGTGCGCTCGCGGCGCATATTCTTTTTCTCGTCCGCCTTGATGCCGTGAGCAAGGGCCTTGAACAGCCGATCTTCCTCTTTGGGATGCGCAAGCCAAGCTTGTACATGCTTGGTCTGCTTCTTGACTTCCGGAACCTTGCTTGCCCACCAGCGAATGTCTTCAGAGATTGCCGCCAATTCCAGCAGCGCCACAAGACCGGTGTACACGGCCGCAGCAGCTTCGGCAGCCTCAGCGATCACTGTGCCCTGGTCTCGTGCAGCTTTCTGGATCTGCTTGAAATAGACCTTGCACATTTCCTGCGAGGCGCTGCTGTCTCGCTCGACGTCTCTGTTCAGGTTGAAATATCGGACCGCTTCATTGAGGGATTCTTTCTCGAGCATTGCTTGGATTTGCGGCAGGGATGAGGCCAGTTTCGGGGCAAAGAGCGCCGCGGAATCCAGCGATGCAGAGGACAAGTTCAGTCCCATCAAGGGTCGGCGCAACAGTTCACTGCAATCGCCGTCCAGGATCTTCCTCAGGTGCTCCGTGGTCAGGCGAGATGCAGGGTCGAACAGGGGCCTGCCTTGATTGTCTGGGTACGACCGAAGTTCCCACTTGCACAGGAACTTATAGAGGTCGACGCGCGTGATGTACTGAGATTTCTCCCCAGCTTCGCCCTTGCCCTTTCCACGGACGCTTCCACGACCGCTGCGCCCGCGACCCATGGCACGAGCAGAGCTGAGCTCACGCCGAACTTTTCGTGTGTGTGCGAAATCTCGAGCCACACGGGCGGCGCAATAAGCGTGTTACTGCAGAAGCACAAGTCATCAGGACAATCCAAACATGCGGGAACTTTCCTACACCGGCCTACGTCATGCAGATGACAGGGGGCAGGTTATAGTCAGCAGAGAAAAGTATATATATATATATATACAGACACGTCAATCTCTCTCTCTCTCTCTCTCTATGTATATATTGTATGTTATATGCTAATATATTTGTATATATATATATATATATATATATATATATATTCTATGTATATGTATATGTATATGTATATGTATATATATATATATGCAGCCTTGGCGGGGGCGGCCCTGGGCGGGGGCGGGGTCACCTGGCAGGGGCTATCCTGGCGGGGCAACCTTGGTGGGGCAAATCTGGGTCAGCATATAGCACTTGAACAATAGCCTGATAACGGTCAGGCCATCTTAACAGAACCGCCCGGCAACCCTGAAAGGCAACGGGGCGATGGGCAACCCTGGCGGGGGCGCTTTGGCAGGGCCCTTCATAGAGAAGGACAACGAAGCTGGTGGGGGAACCACCCTGGTGGGGGCCTGGCGGGGCTGGAAGGGGCCGCTGGTTGGGGCCACCAAAGGCCACGCTGGCGGGTGGCGGGGGCAACTCTTCTTTGGGCAACTCTGGCCTTCCTTCATAGAGAAGGACGACGAAGCATCTGGGAGAACCCGCCCGAACCCTGGGAAAAAGCGGCAACCTGCTAAAGGGCAACCCTGGTGCCCTGGCGGGATAACCCTCCGAGAGCAACCCGGACGACTGGGGGGGGCAGAGCAACCCTGGCGGGGGCAATTTTGGCCGGGGCAACTCTGGCGGGGCAACCCTGCCGGGGGCAACCCTGGCGGGGGCAACCCTGGCGGGGAACGAAGCTGGTGGGGGAACCACCCTGGCGGGGGCCACCCTGGCTAGGGCCACCAAAGGCCACAGCCCTGACGAGGAACAACCGGACGACTCTAGCCTTCCTTCATACAAAAGGACGACGAAGCATGGCTGCCAGACGTGTGCAACCCCAACAGAACCGGCCCGAACCCTGGGCGCAACGGGGCGATGGCCAAGGCCCTTCATAGAGAAGGACGACGAAGCTAGCGAGGCTTGGTGGGCAGGATGGGCAATCTGACGGCCTGCTTGCCTGGCCATGGGGGCACCCTGGTGGGGCGGGCCGGGGGCAACCCTGGTGGGGGCAACCCTGCTGGGGGCACGGACTTGGCAACGTGCGGGAAAGAGGCCCTGGTGGTGGCAACTTTGGCGGGGCAGCCCTGGCGGGGTGGCGGCAACCCTGGTGGGGGCGCGGGGGGGCAATCCTGGCAACCCTGTGAGGGCAACCCTCGCAGAGGCAACCTGGCGGGGGCAACCCTGGCCCTGCCTGGCGGGGGTGGTGGGCGGCAACAGGTGGGGGCAACTCTGGTGGGGCAACACTGGCGGGGGCAACGGGGGCAGGCACTGGCGGGGGCAACCAACCGTGAACCACCCTGGCGGGGCAACCGTGGGGGCAACCTTGGTGAGCAACCGGCGGGGGCAACGGGGGCAACCCTGGAAAGGGCGGGGGCAACCCTGACCCTGGTGGGGGCAACCCTGCCAAGGGCAGGGGCAACTTTGGCGGGGGCAACCCTGACGGGGGCCCAACCCTGGCGGGGCAACCCTGGCGGGGGCAACCCTGGCGGGGGCAACCCTGACCCTGGCGGGGGCAACCCTGGCGGGGGCAACCCTAGTAGGGGGGCGGGGGCAACCCTGGCCCAACCCTGGCGGGGGCAACCTGGCGGGGGCAAGCAGGGGCAACCCTGCCAGGCACAACCCTGGCGGGGGCAACCCTGGCGGGGGCAACCCTGGCGGGGGCAACCCTCTGGCGAGGGCAACCCTGGCGGGGGCAACCCTGGCGGGCGGGGGCAACCCTGGCGGGGGCAACCCTAACGGGAGCAACCCTGGTGGGGGCAACCCTGGTGGGGGCAACCCTGGCGGGGGCAACCCTGGCGGGGGCAACCCTGGCGGGGGCGCAACAGCTTCTCAGGCCCGACCTCCCCCGCCGGGGTCGCGCGTCGGGGGTTTAGGGTTAATCCATTATTACATTGTGCCCTATGGCTAGCAGGGATGCATCAGGTGTGGCAAGCTCGATCTGCTTGGCAAAGCAAGCAGATCTCGAAGCGGTAGCGTTCAGTTGTACCGGCCGCCGCCTGGCGCGGGCGGCCTATGGTTAACCCTAAACCCTAAACCCTAAACCCTAACCCTAAACGCTAAGCCCTAAACCCTCAAGTTCTAAGCCACCCGGCCCGCTGCCCGAGAGTATGTGCCCAACAGCTGAGTCGAAGAGCACCTGGTCCCGGCGCCTTTGCGGCGGAGTTTGGGGTGTTTAGGGTTTAGGGTGCAGGGTTTAGGGTTTAGGGCACATAGGGTTTATAGGGTGTAGAGGGTTTATAGATAGGGTTTATAGGGTTCATGGGGTTTATAGGGTTTGGAAGGTTTAGAGGGTTTAGGGGGTTTTGGGGCTTACTTACAAGCCCCGAAACCCTCAAGCCTAAGCTAACTTGTCCCCAAACTCCCTCACAGACCAAACTCCCCAACGCCCAGCGCTGTATAATTGAGCCTATGTTGGGGTTTAGGGCCCAGTTTAGGGTTTAGGGTTTAGGGAACCCTAAAACCCTAAATCCCCAAAACCCGCAACCCTCAACCCTCAACCCTAAACCCTAAGACCCTAAACCCTAAGCCCCAAACCCGAAACCCTAAAACCCTAAATCCCTACACCCTCAACCCAAAACCCTAAACCCTAAAACCCTAAACCCTAAGCCCCAAACCCGAAAACCTGAAACCCGAAAACCCTAAACCCTAAGTCCCAAACCCTAAATCCCAAACCCTAAACCCTAAACCCTAAACCCTAAACCCTAAACCCTAAACCCTAAACCCTAAACCCTAAACCCTAAAAATCCCTGAAGCCGTCGGCCACCGAACTCCTGGGCTTGAAGGGCCTGTCGGCCGCCAAGGCCACGTGGGACGCCGCAGGGGCCTGCGGTTTAGGGTTTAGGGTTTAGGGTTTAGGGTTCAGGGTTCAGGGTTCAGGGTTTAGGGGTTAAGCTTAAGCTGTATAATCCCTAGTGTTGGGATATTGGGCTCTTCGGGCCCCTAACTCGCATCTCCCTCAACCCCATGAACCGCAGAAGGCCCCCCTCCTGAGCCAAACCTTTCCAACCCCAAGCCCCTAAGCCCCTAAGCCCCTAAACCCCAAAACCCCAAAACCCCAAAACCCCAAAACCCCAAAACCCCAAAACGCCTAAACGCCTAAACCCCTAAACCCCTAAACCCCTAAACCCCTAAACCCCTAAACCCCTAAACCCCTAAACCCCTAAGCCCCTAAGCCCCTAAACCCCTAAACCCCCAAACCCCTAAACCCCTAAACCCCTAAACCCCTAAACCGGCCCTGGGACCCAATACGTACTTGCAGGAGCAATTAGCCATGATAGGCTGGACGCCGCGAGCAGGGATGCGCGTGCATTCACAATCGCAGCAGCAGTATTCCCTGGTGTGGACTGACATAGGTCTGCTCAAGGAAATGTTCTTGAATGATTGGTGGCTTAATTTTTTCCGAAATTTTGCGAACAAGAAGGGTTAAAAGATGCTTCGGGCGTTAGTGTCTCGCATACCCTGTTTTTGCAAAACGTGGGTGGGCTAGGGTTAGGGGTGGGTGGACATGGACAAATTGACCTTATCAGGGATTTGGGGGGCGTGCAAGTATAGAGTGCGTCCAACCTTTGCTGGAATTTGACGATTGCTTGATGGGCCCGCGCTTTTTGTGGGTACTGCAGAACTTTTTCATGTCTCAGTCATGGAAGCAAACGCAGTCGCCTGTGTCAGTGCGGGAAATATATCTCGAATTTGTGGCGCAAAGCGGCTGGATCGCACCAGCCAACACAGCCAAGATGGAGTCTGAGACATTGCCTCTTCGCTATCGGACTAGCATCCCGTCTTCGTGGGTTCATGAATCGGAATACCCGGCTCTCAAGCTTTGTCGGCCTGCGCTCGGGAAGCAGGTAACCGTCTTTCTGCACGTGATTACAGAACTTTTCAAGCGCACGCAAGCTGAGCACAACATTGTACAAGATAAGGTACATAACCAAAGTACCTAAACCCTAAACCTTATATATATATATATATATATTTATTTATTTATTTTTTATATATACTTTATATATTCAATTCAATTCAATTCAATTCAATTCAATTCAATTCAATTCTATTCTATTCTATTCTATTCTATTCTATTCCATTCTATATATATATTATATTATTTATATGAGAGCATCTTGCAATAGGGATAACACCACTTCATGAGTTTTGTTCTCAGATTGTTTACGTCTTCTTGCTAAATTTCTTGCTTCATTGTCATTAGTCTTTATCTACTTGTTATTACTAATTCCTAATGGTTCAGTATCACCAAACCCTAAACTTTAAACCCTGGACCTTAAACCCTAAACCCTAAACCCTGAACCCCGAACCCTGTGGGTTTTCAAGGCTTTGGCAACCCTTGCGGGAGCGCCTGGTCGCCATACGACTCAACTCCGCCAAAGCTGCCTCAGGTTACCCCTAAACCCTAAACCCTAAAATCTAAACCCTAAATCCTAAACCGTAAACCTAACCCTAAACCCTACTTGGAGGTTCATGGTACTTATAACCCAATTTTGACTGTACTCGTAACCCACTTATAAGCCCTTCAAGTGCCCTAAAACGGCTGCGATTGGGTTATGTATGTACAGTTATCAGTGGGTTATTAAGTACCCTCAAGTAAACCCTCTAAACCCGGGACCCCAAGCCCTAGACCCTGGCCTGGAGAACCCAAAACCTATGTTTTGGGTTTAGGGCTTAGGGTTTAGGTGTTAGGGTCGTTTTGTAGCACAAGCCCCAGGGTCACCCTTTGCATATACGTGGGCGCTCGAACGCAAAC